GAATTCCTGTAAAGGCAAAATTAGAATGGTGGGATTCTATTCTAAGATTTTGTTTTCTTTAGCATTGGGAAGTCTTTTCCTGTCATATTTATATGATTAATTTAAGCTTAAAATATTTTTTAAAAAATTTTTTTATTTTAAATATGTAGAGTACAATTCAGGGTTGGGTATACAAATGTTAATTATGCAGGTACCCTTGTTGATGAGGTGTGCCCCTCCCTCCCCTGGAGTTTTCCACTATTGCCAATCCCTTTTTTCTTGCAGTATTACGATCGTTGTTCAAGGTCCACTTCTGAGTAAGGGCATGTGATGCTCATTTCTTTGTTTCTGTAATAGATCACTCATGTTATAGCCTCAGAGTCCATCCAAGTTGCTGCGAAGTTCGTAATTTTGTCCTTCTTTATGACTGCGTAATAGTTCATTGTGTATATGCACCACATTTTTTTTATCCAGTTCTCTTTTGATGGGCAGCATGGTTGGTTCCATGTTTTTGCTATTGTGAATAATGCTGTAATAAACATGCATGTGCAGGTATCTTTTTCACAGAGTGATTTGAGTTCCTCCAGGTATATTCCCAGCAGGGGGATTACAGGGTCGTATGGAAGGTCGATTTTTAGATCTTTTAGGAATTGCCACACTGTTTTCCACAGAGGCTATACTAGTTAACACTCCCACCAACAGTGCAGAAGTGTTCCCTTTTCTCCGCATCCTCTCCTGCATCTGTTGTTTTTTGAGTTATTGATGATGGCCATCCAGACCAGAGTTAGGAGGTATCTCAGTGTGGTTTTAATTTGCATTTTGATGACTAGTGAGGCTGAGCATTTTTTCGTGTATCTGTTGGCTGCTCGTATATCTTCTTTTGAGAAATGTCTATTCATATTTTTTACCCACTTTGTAATGGGGCTGTTTGTTTTTTTTTTTTTGGCACATTTGAGTTCCTTGTAAATCCTTGATGTTAGGCCTTTGTCAGATATACAGTTGGCAAATATTTTTTTCCCAGTCTGTGGACTGTCTCCCCTCTCTCTCAGTGGTTTCTTTGACTTTGCAGAACCTTGTTAGTTTGATGAGGTCCCACTTGTCTATCATATCACTTACGGTTACTTGAGATTTTGATTAGGAATTGGTTGCCTGTTCCAATTTCCATAAGGGTGTCTCCTGCATTTTCTAAGGTTCTTATAGTTTGAGGTTTTACGTTTAGGTCTTTGATCCATTTAGAGTTAATTTTTGTGTATGATCATGGGTAGGGGTCCTGTTTTAATCTTCTGCATGTGGCCAGCCAGTTTTCCCAGCACCATTTACTGAATAGGTTCTCTTCTCCCAAGTGGATGATGGTGGAGGCTTTGTCGAGAATGAGTTGGTTGAGAAATTAAGGTTTTGCTTCTGGAATCTCTATCCTGTTCCATTGGTCTTTATGCCTGTTCTTGTACCAATACCAGGCTGTTTTGATTATTGTAGCTTTATAATAAAGCTTAAAATCTGGGAGTGTGATGCCTCCTGCTTTGTTTTTTGTGCTGAGAATTGTTTTGGCTATTTGTGGTAGTTTATGGTTTTCATGTGAATTCTTGTATTGTTGTTTACAAGTCTGAAAAGAATGCTGCTGGTAATTTAATGGATATTACATTAAATCTGTACATTGCCTTGGGCAGGATGGACATCTTAACAATGTTGATTCTTCCAATCCGTGAGCATGGAATATTTTTCCATTTGTTTGTGTCATTTTTGACGTCTTTGAGCAGTGTTTTGTAGTTTTCAGTGTAAAGGTCTTCGACTTCTCGGTTAGGAAGATTCCAAGATATTTCATATTTTTGTGGCTATTGTGAGTGGGATTGTGCTTTTTATTTGGGTTTCTGTGTGTTTATTGTTGGTGTATAGGAATATGACTGACTGTTGCACACTTATTTTATACCGTGAGACTTTGGCAAAGTCCTTTATCAGTGTAAGGAAGTTTTTGACAGATTCTCTTTGGTTTTCGAGGTATAGAATCATGTTATCTGCAAAGAGGGATAACTTCCTCTTTTCCTATTTGGATACCCTTGATTTTCTTCTCTTGTCTGATTGCTCGAGCTAGAACTTCTAATACTATGTTGAGCAGAAGGGGTGAGAGTGGTCATCCTTGTATTGTGCTGTTTTTCAGGGGAAATGGTTCCAAATTCTGTCTGTTTAGTAGTATGTTGACTGTGGGTTTCTCGTAGATGGCTCTTACGATTTTGAAGTATGTTCCATCTATGCCTAAATGTTCAAGGGTTTTTTATCAAGAAGGGTGCTGGGTTTTATCATTTTTTTCTGCATCTAATGATATAATCATATGGTTTTTGTCTTTACATCTGTTGATGTATTTACTTACATTTATGGTCTTGTAGATGTTGAACCAGCCCTGCATCCTGGGATTGAAGCCTACTTGGTCGTGGTAGATGATTCTTGAGATATGTTGTTGGATCTGGTTTGCTAGAATCTTGTTGAGAATTTTAGCATCTGTGTTCATCAAGGATATTGGCCTGTATTCTCTTTCTTTGTTGGATCTTTAACTGGTTTGGGTACCTATGTGATGTTAGCTTCATAAAATGATTTAAGGAGAGTTCCATCTTTCTCGATTGCCCAGAATATTTTCAATAGGATTAGTATCAGCTCTTCCTTGCATGTTTTGTAGAATTCTGCTGGAAAGCCATCTGGTCCAGGGCTTTTTTTTTGTAGGTAGTTTTCTTGTGATATAGTCAATTTCCTGAGACGTTATTGGTCTATTTAGGGTCTCAATTTTTTCTTGTTTCAACTTGAGGTTGTGTGATGTAAGAAAGTCCTCCATTTCATTTAGCCTTCGAGTTTGTTTTCACACAGGTGTACAAAGTAATCTCTGATAATCTTTTGTACTTCTTTGAGGTCAGTTGTGACTTCATCGTTTGCATTTCTGATTGTGTTTATTTGGGCTTTTTCTCTCTTTTTCTTGGTCATTCTAGCTAGGGGACCATCAATCTTGTTTATTCTTTAAAAGAACCAGCTTTTTGTTTCGTTGATTTTTTTTTTTGTATTATCTTTTTGTCTTCTATGTCCCGGATTTGGGCTTTTATTTTGGTGATCTGGATTCTTCTGCTGAAGTTAGGGTTTTGATGGTCTTGCTTTTCCAGTTTCCTTAGGTGACTTGTTAGGCTGTTAACTTGTGATCTTTCCATTTCTTCATGTGCATTTGTAGAGAGATGAATTCCCCTCTTACTACTGCTTTCATGGCATTCCAAGTATTTTGGTAAGATGTTTCTTCATTTTCATTTGTTTCCAGGTATCTTTTAATCTGGATTTCCGTATTGACCCAGGACTTGATTAGCATCATGCTTTTTAGTATCCATGTCTTTATGGGTTTTGGGGAAGCTTTGATGGTGTTGATATTTATTTTTATTCCACTGTGGTCTGAGAAGGTGCATGGCAGAATTTCAGTTTTATGGAATTTGTTTATGCTTGATTTATGGCTGAGGATGTGGTCAATCTTAGAGTAAGTTCCATGTGGTGATGAGTAGAATGTATATTCTGTGGTAGTTTGGTATAGGTATCCATTAAGTCCACTTGGTCAAAACTTAAAATCTTGAAAACTATCTTATCAGATAGAAGAGCCTTGGCATCCAATTCATTGATAAAAATTACATGGAGCCATTTATCTTTTAGACATTACCTTCATCAAAACTTTCCTGTGAAAAGAATCCAGTTGAAGTCGAACTATGCATATATTGGTATCCATAACTCATTAAAATAGTATTGTTTTCTGCATCTTTGTAAACTTTATCAAATAGTATACCATAAGAATAATTTTGTGCCTTAATTTTTTTTGTCAACATTGTTTTGATTTGCCTGTGCTGATTCTAAATAGTTTATTTTAATTACTATATAGTCTGCATGTGTTGCAGTTTGTCAGTTATGTTGATAAATGCTGTTTGCTATTTATGGTGTTTTGCTGTTAGGAACAATTGTGCATATGCTCTAGAGTTCACCTAGCTGATGTTTTTAGAACTGCATGACTTTTTAGTGATTTTGAAATTATTTTAGTGGACCGAGACCAGCATTTTCTTTTAAATGGAAACAGAATAGGATAAAATGGAATAGAGTCACGTAGAATAAAATAGCATAAAGCAAAAAAAAAAAAAATTAAGAAAAGGAAGATATCACTAAGCATTTCATGTAGGAGGATTAAGAATTATTATGTGAAATTTTTGTTTTAATTACATACATGTGTCAAAAAAAGATTGGAAGACACTGCAGTGCTCTACATATTGTTGAGTTGTTCTCTAAACTGACTGTACCAATTTACATTTTTTTTAGCAGTATTTGATTGTGCCTTTTGATCTACATCTTCTCTAGAATTAGGTATTATCCCCCTTTAACTTTTGCAGATCTGGTGAATGAGATCTATCTCATTGTGATTGTATTTCTATGAGAAATTCCATGGTAAATCTGAGAATCTTTCAATATGTTTACTAATCTCTTCTTCTGTTAATTGCCTGTATTCTTTGCATACTTCTTAATTGTGCCATATATCTTGCTCTTATGGATTTGTAAGCATTCTTTATATATTTTGTATACTAATCCTTTCCAGTTGTTAATTATATATGTTGCAAATATCTTCCTCTATTCTGTGGCATATTTATTCCTTTGTTCAATTTTGAGTCTTTTATTTGTGGTTTATACTTTTGTGTCTTATAAGAAATTTTTTTCTGCTCTGAGATCATAAAGATGTTTTCTATACTTTTAAAATTTTGAAAGTTTTGTTTTTTTCAGTGTCTAAATTGTTGAAACCCTTTCCTGAAATGTATAAAGTATAATATTGAAAAGTTATATTTTAAAATTTTTATATTTTTACAATAGAGTACTTCTACTGTTGACATTTTAATAATAGATAGAGCTGATACAATTTTTAAACTGTTTTTCTCAGATAAATAATGGATTGTTAAATTTGCAAGATAGTATATATATATTTTCTCTGTTTTCTCTAATATAATTTCTGTATGTATTTATATTTTCAGTAATATTAACTTTGCTCTAGAAGACAACTTTACATGGATCTAAAAGGAGCAGGATTAAAGATGACCGAATACTGGGTTCCAGAAATGTAAAACAATCAGGTATAAATGTTTTTGGAGGGAGTGTTCCCCACCAGTCACTTTAAAATAAAATGTTTGGAGCATACACAAGAAATACTTAAAGTATCCATCCCTGCAATATAGTGGAGGGTCTAAGAGCAGAAGCTTTGGAATAGTCTTGGGTTTAAATACTGGCTCTGACCCTGATTGGTTGTGACTGTTTGCAAGTTACTGAAACATGGGTGAATAAAATGGAAGCGAGGGTTTTACGGGTTTTATTTGGATATTATAAAGATTAAATGAGATACTACAAGGCACTTTATGCCTAGAATAGAGTAACTGTTTACATATACTGTCATTTTTGTTATTTGGAATACATGTTTATCAAATCATGGATGCAGTTTCTGTATGTATACTTTAGATTTTAAAAATAAATATATTATTAATTTATATTAACTGTAGCCTGGTGAAATCAAGAGGCTATCAGGGTAAGATAATTGTACCTTCCACATGTATTGCTCAAACTTATTTCTCAAATAGTGCAAACTGGGGAAGCTAGTTTTCTCTATTTTGTATGCAAGACGTTGAAATCATGTAAAAAGAAAAAAAAAAAGCCAACTATTCTCCACAACTAGAGAATTCAATAAATTTTCTTACAGAATTATATAAAAGTAATGAGTCTTGATTCATTTTTAAATCTTGAAGGACTTTCTGATCAACAAACATAAAGTTATGTTAACCTTATATTTTGTGCTAATTGAATCTTACTGTATGTCATTTCTTAGAATGTGGTAATTTCCATGGCATACATGCAATTATGTGTTAACCTGATCAGTCAAATAAACAGAATGGCTTGTTTCCCCACCATTCTAATTTTGGGGAGTTTAATTATACTTGAAATTGATCAAATACAGTTTTCCTATGTAAAAGCCCAGGATTGCTGTTCCGTGATTTTAGCACATTAGCAAAATTTTGCATCTACTTGGAATAAAGGGGGCCTAAGGTATTGCAATGAGAGGCAGTCACATCTGCTAGGTTCCCTTTCCTTCTTTCTCTTCTCTTCCTCTTTCTTCACCTCCTTCTCCTCTCTTTTTTAATTCCAGTAAAACTTTGGGCAGATACGGAAAAGGAGTTCTCATTAGGATGAGGCAGAAAGAGAGGGATCCTCAGTGTAGGTTGGCTCCAATATACAGAAAACTATGTTGTAAGGTTGCTTTCAGTAAATACTGAAGGTTGCTTTTCAGTGAATACATGTCCGCCTCTGAGCCGTGGTAATTATAGTGATGAATTAATCATGATGTCCTCTCTTAAATAGCTTGCCAATTAACAGAGAAGGTAAATCATATAGGAATAACAATCACATGGGCAGAATATGGAAAGGGCCATTAATGAAGTTAGAAACAAAAAAGTGCAATGGAAGTACGGAGGAGAAAGGGTCCTAGCCCATCTGGGTAATCAGAAACCATACTAACTTGAAGCTCAGGGATAGTCATACTGGGTTTGAAAGAAAATTAGGATTTTAACTTATCTGCTGAAATACCATTGATAATCTGTAGTAAGTATTAATTAAATATGGCAAAATATTTTTTCATATTGTCAACCAGATGAAGTTTTTAAGTGGGAAACTTCTAAGTGATCCTCCTAAATAAACTTCTCTTTTTTGACTTGTTTCCAAACATTAGGAACAGTGAATTTCTATTTATTGTGATAATTTTGAGTTATCATTATTCTAAATATATAATTATTTTTCATATTCTGAGAGACCTTTTTACAGATGGGGGGAAATTACTAGTATCCTCAAGGGCATGTAAAACATTGGTAAGGGACCCTGTTAAGACTTGATCTTATTTTGAGCATTGTTTTTATCTATCTAATATAAGGCTATAACTCAACTGTGGAAAATAGCAGATAAAATCTTCTTATGTTAGTACTTGAAATAGAGATTGTATTTAAGTAAATAGGTCCTAACCTATCAATTAAAAAAGCAACATTAAATACAGCTCTACTAAATTGCTTTTGGGGGACTAGAATATTTTGTTTTTATGTATTTTTAGTGAGATGATAGTTAACTGCATAATGATTGAACCACAGTCCAGACATATTGCATATGTTCTGCTAGGGCTACTCCTGTTACTTCTACATGGTAAAAAAGTAGTTAATGTGGGTGCTTATTAAGGCAAGAGCATTCAGTGCTGTTGCTACATACTTGACTGTCATTTTGGATTTTTCATTAAAGTCCAGGATAGCAAAGCCACATTCATTAATTTATTCTTTCATCCTTTTCATTCATTTCTTTCTTTTTTTTTCCAGCTTAGCAAATCATATATTCTTCAGTGGAGCTGAGAATTGATAAGTCTGCTCTTCACAGTGATTTGAAACTTTCCAATCCCAAAGAAAAGCTGACTAAGGTCTAAAATTTATTTTTCCTTATCTATAACAAGTCAGCTCTTAAAATGAAAATTTTCTACTGCTTGTCTTATAGATTTAAGTGTCTGTGTTATATCCTGAGATTACTTTTTCAGACCTCAGCAGGAGGATTCCCATAGGCCATCCAGAGCAGTTAAAACTCCTTTTGGGTTTTATAGCTGTTAACTCCCATGCCTAAAGCTTAATTTCTTTATCTTTCCTTCACCATATTTGAACATAGCTTATTTTCTTTGTTAATTAGGAGTTAAGTTATTTTAACCTGCCTAGCTTCATCCAACCTATGGGGTCCTGATTTCACCACATACTTTTTCCTCAGGGACTGCACAGGACTGAGTCCATATGGAAGAAGAACTTCCTCTTTTCTATGGAGAAAGTGGCAAGGTTAGAAAAAATTATGCTCTTGGAACGTGTGTATTCTGTCACTTAAAACATCATTTCATCAAGCATTTATTGGGCACCTGATAGGAAGATCAATGAGATAGCATCTGCCTTTGAGGGGCTCGTATTGTAGTAACTGAGATGCCAACAGGTAATTATTGTGGGTATGTAGAATGCTGATGGGGTCAGCAGGGAAACTGATATCACCTGAGGGGCAGAGAAAGAGCTCCCAGAGACAGTCAATAGATAGGAGTGCAGACCATCCCCTACTCTCACAGACGGTGCTAGTCTGCAAAAGGATCCGAGTTTATTTCATTCCCAGAGATTAGAAAATACACATAAACTACCCAATCTTAGATGCTATGTTCTCAATTCATCATATACATTCTTTGATTTCTTTCTTTTCCATCACATCTAAACATTACAGTCAACCAGCTTAAGTCTAATCAGTATCCAATTGATGTTGAAAGTCCTACATCTTTTAGCATGCATATTGATCTGCATCTTGTTATATTATTGAATTTACAAAATATCTGCTCATTACTACTAACAGCTTAATTTTTATAACAGCTTAATATTAACTGTTACTATTAACAATTTGATTTTTTGTTTTCCACTCTTATTCTATAAAATAAAGTCAAAATTCAATAAAAAGTATAAATAATTATACAAAGGCAGCATAATATGCAAAGCTTCTGAAACTACATCATAGCATTACCATGTGCTGACTTAAATGTGAGTTTGTGAGCCCTTGTAGGAAAGTCCAAAAGTAGCTTATGAAAGTAATGGATATATATAATTGAGAGTCTTACAAAATGTAAATAGAAAAACTCCTAATTTTTCCTGGGAATAAGTTTGTAAAATAAAATGATGGATTCATAGAATCAGCAAAGGAATTATATTATGACATACAAAGTGTTATAATGCTAAGAAATCCTCAGAAAGTGAGGTGTTGGCCTTTTTCCTCAATTTTTTTTTTTTTTTTTTTTGCTAGACATGCCTGACGTGTAATTTTGATTATTTACGTATTCTGTATTTCACATTGTGCTGCGGCAACTTGATAGTTGTCTGTAATTAAATGAGGTATGGCAATCACATGATTCTTCATATTGATGGAGAAGTGAATTTATATAGGTAGCACACACTCAAAAGAACAGTAAGATGCAATTTGGTCTGTAATTTTATGGCAGATGAATTTCCTTAATTATGTTTTTCTTGAGCTAATATTAAAATTTCACTACTTTGCATTTCCCAAACAGATGCCAGGTAGAGGTGGGGGAGGTGAACTAGATGTTAGCACAGACGTAAAAGAAAACTGGCCTGGTTAATGATCTCCTAAGGTAGCTTTGTGCGTAGTAAGGAGTGTCACCTGGGCCAAGGATGAGGACTTTGGATTCTAGGGACACGATCTTAATGATGCATATTACCAGGCTGTCATTCTCTAGTAGTACTTTTTCCCCATACAGATTTCTCTGTAGCCCACACCCAGCTCTTGCTCAGTCAGTTCATTACTTGGCAGTTGGGTGCCTTCTGTAGAAATGGCTACTGTCATGCAGTGGCTACAGCAGGATTGAGGTTCCTGCAGGGAACTGTGTGTGAATCTTTTATACATTGTCTCATGACTGTGCTGGACTGAATAATGTATTTTTCTTTTTGCTATAATTCCTTGACCCTGATGGAGGTTGAGTATTCCTTATCTGAAATGTTTGGGACCAGAAGTGTTTCAGATTTTGGATTTTTTTTTTTTTTTTAAGATTTTAGAATATGTGCATTATACTTGCTGGTTGAGCATCCCTAATTCAAAAATCTGAATTCTAAAATGCTCCAATGAGCATTTCCTTTGAGTCTGACCCCATATTGACATTCAAAAAGTTCTGCATTTTGGAACATTTTGGATTTTTGAATTAGGGGTGCTCAACCTGTATTACATCTCTACTTTAAAAAAGTGTAAGTGTATGTATTTTATAAATTAAATAATCAGTTCCCTATGTAATAGTTCCCCCATAGACTTAAAAAATGAGTCTTCAGTGACTAACCTGCAACAGCCAGCCTTGTGACAGAGATTTAAAAGCAGTATGTTCACATCTCTGTTGTATTTAGGTTATATTGTAATTATTTGTTTTCTATTAAATTATGATCTCCTTGAAGAGAACGATTATATCTCATTTTTCTACTTTTAGTTCATTGATATGATCAGACCTGATATTCTCTTGACCAGTAGCATTTTTTTCCATAAAATATACAGACTAGGGGTTACATTATAAAGCAAACACATTGGAATCTCAGTAGTCAGTAGAGTAACTACAGATTTTTGTACAGGTGGGCCAGGAAAAAAGTCTAGAACTTATTTGTAGTCACGTGTTCAACAGCTGTTTGGAATTTACAACCTGATTCTAGGGGGTCGAAGAAACTGCTTGATTTTGTGGTAGTGCAGGGTAAAATCCAAAAATCTGCTTGAAAGGGAAAAAATGAGGTGATAGTCAATTATTTTATCTTGCCACCTGCCTTGTTTGTGGACGACAAACCTCAGTGGGTATTATTGCCCTAAGAGTAAGTAATAATAATAATAATAATAATAATAATAATACTGAGTCCTTAAGGGCTCTGTAAGAACAGCCAAGGTCGAGCAAATACAAGTAGGAACTAGGTCTACCAGTAGTATAACACTTTATGTAAACTTTTTACTCAGCAGTCAGATGATATATAAAAAGAAATCTGGGCTTTAATCTGGCTCACCCACTTAGAAGCTAGTGATATTGGAGGATTACCTAAGCCTCGGTTTCTTTATCTGCAATATGAGGATAGCCAGTATCTATGTCCTACAATTGTGCAGATTACAAATATGTAAGAACTCCATTTACTAGATTATTGCATCTACATTGACTACTTGATGCCACTTCCCAAACTTTGTTCTTTTTGAAGTAAATAGGGGGGAAAATATAAAACTGAAGGCCTCATAGAAAATAAGATTCCTTCATGATATAATGTGGCGGGTAATTTAAAGTAGAAGCTAAAACTAAAAGCTAACATTGAATTCTGTCCTTGGCTCTGTAGCGGCCTTGAACAACACCACTCTTTTTTCAGTAAAGTGTCACAGAGAAGAAATCTTAGATTAATATAATGTTACCATATAAAGTATTTGTGTTCCTAAAAATATATATAGCAATAATGGGGACATAATTTTACACTTGCATATAACTGTAACTTTCTATATCTGTGAGTTGTTTTAAACATTCCAAATTCCAAATTAAGATTACCCTGCAATGAATGCCAACAAATCTTCCTTCCTCTGATATCTTTTTGCAAGATCCTCTGATCTAAAGTAAATACAGAAACATCAATCACTGTTTCAAAACTGAACAGGAGACCCAACTGTTTGGTGCTTCCCAAAAGATAATAGATGTCATTCTTGAGACAGAGTTGCATGGGGAGGGAATGGGGCTGGATGTGGTGTCAAGTGAGCATAGCCCTGGTTCATGCTCTGCCACTAACTTACAGGGTGTTACTATTAGCAGGCACAAACTACTTAGTCTCTATATTAGTTTCTTAGGGCTGCTGTGACAAATTACTACAATTAAAACAACAGAAATTGATTTTCTCTCTGTTCTAGAGGCTAGGAGTCTGAAATCAAGGCATTATCAGGACTATGCTCCCTCCGAAGACTCTAGGGAAGGATCTTCCCAGCTTCCAGTGGTGGTTCCTGGCAATTCTTGGTGCTCCTTTATCTACATTACTGCAGTCTCTGCCTTCATTGTCACGAGGCCTTCTTCCTTGTGTGTCTCTGTGTGTCCTCTGATAAGGACATTAGTCATTGGACTTAGGGCCAATCTAATCCATTATAACTTTATCTTCACTCATTACATCTGCAAAGACCCTATTTTCTTTTTTCTTTTTTTGTGAGTTGGAGTTTCACTCCGTCGCACAGACTGGAGTGCCACCACAGCCTCGACCCGCTGGGCTCCAGCGATCCTTCCTCCTCAGCCTTCCAAGTAGCTGGAACTACAGGTGCGCACTACCACACCCAGCTAATTTTTTGATTTATTGTAGAGATAAGGTCTTGCCAAGTTGCCCAGGCGGGTCTCGAACCTGCGGGTTCAGGCAATCCACTCACCTCACCCTCTCAAAGCACGGGATTACAGGCTGAGCCACCGAGCCCGGCTCCTATTTTCAAATAAAGTAATTTTCTGAGGTACCAGGTGAACGTGAATTTTTGGATTTGGGGGAGAGAGTATTTAGCCCACTATAACCCCTCTCTGTGCTTTCTTCCAGTTTCTCATCTATAAAACGATCTTTAGAGTTCTTTTTAGCCACAGATTTAATAATTCCATGAAAGTCTTTCAGAAAAGATGGAAACCTAAAATCAAAGCTTTAATTACAAGACGAGCCAAGGGTTCTGCTTGTTTCTGCTGTAGGCTCAGGGGTCACTAGGGCAGCTGCTTGATGCTTCCTCATCTCCTTTCACTCACTGCTGACCTTACTTTGGATACAAGTTTAGGATTATTGACTGTGATCAGAAGAGAACTTAATCAGTTTGAGAACTTGGTAATAGAATCATGTTTGATGATATACCTTGGGTGAACAGAGATGGAGAGCACTGGAGCTGGGAGCAGGTGTTGGAGAGGCCAGGCTATTGGAATGTCTTCCATGTGAAGGAGTTACAGAGGATGGGATGGAAGGGAGCCATCTAGAAGTGAGCCATCCATTCCAATATGTATTTGTTCATTTCACCAACACGGGTATTTCCTGTATTCTTACCTCCATGCAAGGGACTGATGACATGGTGGCAAAGGAGACAGACAGTCCTTATGAAGTGTACTCGAGGAGTCTGGAAAGGTGACCCCAGAATAATTCCTGGTAATGAGAATAGTGGAGCCTTGCAAATTCATGGTGTGGATTTGAGAAGGGCAGAATTGCTGACTCATGTGCTCAGATGTCCTCACTGATTCCTGAGGTGAAAGGGACAAGTATTCTATCAGATCTGTAGAAAATAAGTAGATAGTCCACTCAGCTCTGGGCCAGAACTCGTTCCTAGTAAGGTTGATTTAATAACTGATGAGAAAGAGAGGCCTTAGAAAATCTTTGCTGCTTTAAATCAAGCATGAGTTTGGTGATTATTGAAGGGAAAGGCCAGACATGCCAATTGGTGGACATATTGGCTGTCGAAGCTTTTGATTATAATCTTCAAAAATGTTTGAAAGTTGAAAAATGCTTTCAGTGTAGCACATAAATAAAAATTCTCTTTTAAAACAATACCATAATGGGAACGCTTAATGCTCTTATGGGAGTGCAGATGGTCATGATCTTAAAATATGCTGCTTTGGGCTTAATTGTGACCCTTCCAAATTCACATGTTGAAGTACTAACACTCAGTACCTCAGAATACAACTTATTTAGAACTGGGGTCATTGCAGGTGTAATTAGTTAAGATAAAGTCATTAGGATTGGCCTTAATCCAATATGACCAGTGTCTCTATAAGAAGGGGGAATTTGGACACAGATATGCAAAGGGAGAAGATGATGTGAGTCATAGGGAGAAGATAGCCACCTATAAGCCAAGAAGAGAGGCCTGGAACAGATCTTTCCCTTATAGCTTCAGAAGCAGCCAGGCTAGCTGATATCTTGACTTTGGACTTCTAGTCTCCAGAACTATAAGACTATACATTTCTGTTGTTTAAGCTACCTCACTTGCCATACTTAGTATGACTGCCCAAGCAAACTAGTACATATGCTTTCCAGGTGTTTCTTCCTACCAATCCCCAAACCTAATGGAGGATGAGGAAACCCACCAATTCCTCAAACTGAAAGTCAAGTAAAACTTTCCCATGAACTGAAACTTTTGAACTGTTCCCCTGTTATCACCTTCATCATTGTTCTTTACCAGTATTGTTCTTTAAGACTTAGGCAGCTGATGAAATGAATGGCAGTTCATTCTCTCTCTCTCTCTCTCTCTCTCTCTCTCTCTCTCTCTCTCACACACACACACACACACACACACACACACACACAAACCATTTTAGCTTAGCACAGCTATATTTAAGACATAGTCAATATTTACAATACTTGCTAAACATGCAACTCCCCGGAGTTCAACTTTGGGTAATTCCTGTGTCCTTGAGGAAAATTAATAGATGAGACTTGATTCTATCCAGGCCTCCAGAGCTTGGTGACTGTGAATTGCCCTGAAGCAGCTGACTGTGAACTGCTCTGTAGCTGCAAGAGGTCTCTCAAAAATAAATGCAGCGAGTTTCTCAAACCAGTGTTAGCCCTCTTCTACAGAAGTGAAGGGGCAAAGAAAATTGACTTTCTAGTTTGTAGTCTCAATATATATATTTTTCCTTTTCAGCCAGTACAGGCTACTTTGTCATCTTTGAAGATGTTAGATGTGGGAAAGTGGCCAATATTTTCCCTTTGTTCTGAGGAAGAACTGCAGTTAATTCGTCAGGCTTGTGTCTTTGGCAGTGCTGGCAATGAAGTTTTATATACTACAGTAAATGATGAGGTAATGTTGAGAATAATAATTCAGCCACCCATATTTTTAGAGATGGATTTGCTAAATTGAAGATCCTGGGGGGAACTAAAGAGTAAAGGTTAAAAAAAAAAGCATGGGAAGTAGATTCTTATTTGTTACATAATGAAGCAATTTGCTTTAGGAAGACTATGCTTGTTTGGATGTAATTTATAGGTTTGTCAGAAATAGAAATGCTTGAACTAACAGTGGTTTTTCTGACAGATTTTTGTGCTTGGCACAAACTGCTGTGGCTGTTTGGGGTTAGGTGACGTCCAAAGCACCATTGAACCTCGGAGACTGGATTCTCTAAGTGGCAAAAAGATAGCCTGCCTCAGCTATGGGAGTGGGCCACATATTGTCCTTGCAACAACAGGTAACCTAGGAACCCTTTTTAGAATTTTAGCCATTGCTTTATTTGCTGAGAAACAAGGATTGCCCTGAGATCAAGAATATCTTAAAATTGGGTGATAGTTGCTTGCTCTGCTCTGTTTGCTTTGGACAACATGAAGTATGGATATATCTGAATATCAGAGTAAAACAATGTAACAGATGGAATCTAGCAATTATTGGCATATAGATGTATGAATGACAATGCTATCAGCCAAGTAAATTCTGCTGAACTCACTGTGGACTTTGGAAAGTCTACTTTTGAACTTTAGATTTCTGATCTGTGAATTGAAAGACTAAACCTTGACTCCAACATCCTCTTGGCATGCTGTGATTCATACACTAAATGGTAACTGATGGGTGTAGTTGGTATTAGTAGTATAAGACATTAAACATTCTTATGACTATTTAATGAATTCAGATTAATAAGGTATTAGAATGAAAACATACTTTAGAGTTTTCCTTAAGCTTAGTATCTATTTTATGTGTATTCTTTAAACTGAAAATAAATTTTGTAAATACTCTTTTGTAGATTTATTTCACACTTTAAAAAATAAGTTTTAGGGATTTTTGGTTTCCAGTAATAACTTATTCAGACAGTTCTTCACTGAAAACAAGTAAAATTCTAAATAAAATATTAATGAATTTTTTCATTAAGGCATTAAAGCACTGACAATGCATTAAAAAGTTATCAGACCAAATTTAAGAGATAGTATGAACTAAGAGGTTGGAAGGGAACTTGAAGCTACTTTTTGCCATGAAGGCATTTGCCTATCCACTTAAGCAGAGTTGTGGTTTGGGTGTACTCAGGAGGGAAAGGGGTCATAAGTCAAAGTCCTACCTAACAGAGAGTCTAACAGAAAACCTCCTACCTTAGGCTGGGACTGCAAATCCTATACCCTCAGGGAAGGGATTAGCCATTTCCTAAGACACTGACCAGATAAATTCCTTGCTCTGAGCAAAGAAGGGAGGAAAAAAGAAATATACTTCTCCCCAAGAGGTTGCAATTATGGATTTCTGGTTTAATTCACATCAGACTGGATGGTCTAAGAAATCTCAAGTCTTGAATTTATTAGCTGGACTGGACTGAAAGTGCCTTAAGGGCATGATAGAAGTTGATACAAACCCTTTCTAGAGGAGGAAGGCACCTTTATCCTAGACCTGAGGGAGTCACCCCAAATAACTTTTCAATGACAATCAGCAGAACACATGTAGTCAAAGATAACCAAGTACACAGTAGTCCCCCCTTATCTGTGGTTTCACTTAGTGAGGTTCCAGTTGCCTACAGTCAACCATGGTCTGAAAATATTAAATGAAAAATTACAGAAATAAACAATTTGTAAGTTTTAACTTTGTGCCGTTTTGAATAGGGTGATGAAATTATTGTGCCCTCCTGGTCTGTCTGACCTGGGACGTGAATCATTCCTTTGAACATCCTCTCTGTGCAATATATGAGAGGGACCTCCCCCCCAAAAAACAGAATTATTTTTTGGAGGCTGGACCCCTTGTAATACAGGCTTCCCCCACTAGATAAGTGTTCTAGGACTCCACCGGAATCAGTGTACCAGCTAGCATTGTCGTGGGAGGCTGCATTTGGCTTCAGTGAATTTTCTTTTGGAGATTCTTTCATTGCATTTGCCCATTTCATGTTGGGCAAATTTACCAGTGTTCAGCAGTTTTTGACTAAAAACAGCATAACTCCCATGCCTCACCTTTCCTATTTACCCAATCTCGCCCTGAGATACTTTTGTTTTTCTGAATGAAAAAAATCCTCAAAGGGCGACATTTTGCCAATGTGGAAGAAACAAAACAAAAAATGGCAGAAGCACTAAAAGACATCAGAATTGACAAGTTCAAAAACTCTTTTGAGCAGTGGAAAAAGTGTTTCAATAAGTGTATTACATCAAATGGAGAATACTTTGAAGGTGACTGAAGTTTAAACATGTAAGAATAAATACACATATTTTTACAAATAAATCCCAGGGTTTTTTTTTGTGTCCACCCTCGCACAACACCTACCTGTTTAGACACTTAGTAGCTGTCTCAGTTATGAGATAGACTGTCATGGTAGCCTAGTGCTTGTGTTCAGGTCATCCTTATTTTACTTAATAATGGCCCCAAAGCACAAGACCGGTGATGCACAATTTGGATATGCCAAAGAGAAGCTGTAAAGTGCTTCCTTTAAGTGACAGGGGAAAGTTCTCAATAAGAAAAACATCGTATGCAGAAGTTGCTAAGATTTATGGTAAGAATGAATCTTCTATCCATGAAATTGTGAGCAGTATACTGTAAGATTGTTCTATTTTATTATTAATTATTAATAGTTTTTAAAAGAATTAGGATTAGATGGATAAAGATTAGGGAGATAAGTAGTCATTGCACAGGTAAAGTTTGAACCTAGCTTTGGTCCCCACTTCTTCTGGTTTGGGATCAGGTATGCTTATTGATGTTATCTGCCTCCCCTGCCTCCTTTCCCCAGCAGTATTAGTATTACGATAAATGTTAGAATCTGCTTATGAGTAAGAACATGTGGTACTCAGTGTTTTGTTTCTGTGATAGATCACTGGGTATTATAATGGGATGAACTCTAAATTCATCTAAGTTGCTGTGAAGTCCATATGTTTGTCCTTCTTCATGGCTGTGTGATAGTCCATTGTGTGTGTGTGTGTGTGTGTGTGTGTGTGTGTGTGTGTGTGTATACTGGATTTCATATATATATATGAAATTTTTTTAACCAGTCCAGTTTCGATAGGCAGTATGGTTGGTTGCATGTTTCTGCTGTTGTGAATAATGCTGCAAAAAACATGTGTGTGCAGGTATCTTTTTTTTTTTTTTTTTTGAGTTGGAGTCTTACTTTGTCGCCCAGACTGGAGTGCAACCGCAGCCTCCACCTGCTGGGCTGCGGCGATCCTTCCTTCTCAACCTTCCAAGTAGCCGAAATTACAGGCATGCACTACCACACCTGGCTGATTTTTTGATTTATTGTAGAGATGAGGTCTCGCTGCCCAGGCGTGTCTCGAACCCACGGGCTCAGGCAATCCACTCACCTCAGCCTCCCAAAGGTGCGGGATTACAGGCTGAGCCACCGAGCCCAGCCAGGTATCTTTTTTATAGAATGATTTGAATTCTTCCGGGTATATTTCCGGAAGGAAGACTGCTGGGTCATGTGGAAGGTCAGTTTTTAGATGTTTTAGGAATTGCCACATTGTTTTCCACAGAGGTTATACTAGTTTACACCCCCATCAACAGTGTAGAAGCTTTCCCTTTTCTCTACATCCTTGCCAGCGTCTGTTGTTTTTTGAGACTTGATAATGGCCATCGTGGAGTTAGGTGTTATCTCAGTGTAGTTTTAATTTGCATTTTTTTGTTGTTGTTGTTGTTTTGAGTTGGAGTCTCACTCTGTCACCTAGACTGGAGTGCAGTGGCCACTCCTGGCCACTGCAACCTGGACCTGCTGGGCTCTGGCGATCCTCCCGCCTCAGCCTTACAAGTAGTTGGAACTATAGGCACGCACTATCACACCCAGCTAATTTTTTTTTTTAATTGTAGAGATGAGGTCTTGCCGAGTTGCCCAGGCAGGTCTCGAACCTGTGGGTTCAGGCAATCCACTCACCTCAGCCTCCCAAAGCGCGGGATTACAGGCTGAGCCACTGATCCCGGCTGCATTTCTTTGATGATTAGTGAGGCTGAGCATTTTTTTAGTGTATCTGTTGGTTGCTCATATGTCTTCTTTTGAGAAGAGTCTTCATGTCTTTTGCCCAATTTTTAATAGGGCTGTGTGTTTTTTTTTCCTTTTGGCATGTTTGAGTTCCTTGTAGATTTTAGATGTTAGGGCTTTGTCAGATATACAAGTGGCAAATATATATATATTTTTCCATTCTGTGGGCTGTCTTCCTGCTCTCTTGATGGTTTCTTTTGCTTTGCAGAAGCTTTTCAGTTTGATGAGGTCCCACTTGTCTATCTTATCTCTTATGACATGGACATTTGGGGTTTTGACCAGGAATTGGTTGCCTATTCCAATTTCCATAAGGGTGTCTCCTGCTTTTTTCTAAGATTTTTATAGTTTGAGGTTTTATGTTTAGGTCTTTGATCCATTTAGAGTTGATTTTTGTGTATGGTGATAAGTAGGTTTCCTGTTTCATTTTTCTGCATGTGGTCAGCCAGTTTTCCCAGCACCATTTACTGAATAGGTTCTCCTCTCCCCATTGTTTGTTGGTGGAGGTTTTGTCGAAGACGAGTTGGTTGAGAAATTGAGGTTTTGCTTCTGGAATCTCTATCCTGTTCCATTGGTCTATATGCCTGTTCTTGTACCAATACTGGTCTGTCTTGAATATTGTAGCCTTATATTAAAGTTTAAAGTCTGGAAGTGTGATACCTCCCACTTTGTTTCTTTTGCTAAGGATTGTTTTGGCTATTTGTGGTCTTTTATGTTTCCATATGAATTTCTACATTGTTGTTTTCATGTCTGATGTTGGTGATTTAATGAGTATTGCATTGAATCTGTAGATTGCCTTGGGTATAATGGATATCTTAGCAATATTGAGCCTTCCAACCCGTGAGCGTGGAATATTTTTCCATTTGCTTGTGTCTTCTATGATTTATTTGAGCAGTGTTTTTAGTTTTCATTGTAAAAGTCTTTCACTTTCCATGGTTTGGAAGATACCAAAGTATTTCATTTTTTTGTGGCTATTGTGAACAGGATTGTGCTTTTTCTTGGTTCTCTGCCTGTTTGTTGTTGGTGTTTAAGAATGTAACGGTTTTTCACACACTTATTTTGTACCCTGAGACTTTGCCAAAGTCCTTTATCAGTGCAAGGGGGTTTTCAACAGATTATCTTGGGTTTTTGTTTTTGGTTTTTTTTTTTTTTGAGCTGGAGTCTCACTCTGTCGCCCAGACTGGAGTGCAGTGGCCGCTCCCGGCCACCGCAGCCTCGACCTGCTGGGCTCCGGCGATCCTTCTGCCTCAGCCTTCCAAGTAGCCAGAATT